TGGCATCCGGGACCCTGAAATACAGAAAGCACTGCGAATGGCGGATGTTAAAGATCTGAAAAGCGCTTTAGTGTATGCCATGAAATTTGAGGCAGCCCAGCAAGCCACCCGTCGAGACCGCCATCCAGTCAGAGCTGCTCAAGTCCAGGAGCCAGAGGATCAAGTGACTGCTCGTCTAGACGATTTAACTAGACAACGGAAACGCCTTGAGACAGGAATATTGGTGACAAGAAACCGACCGTAAAGTGCTGGAACTGCGGTGCTGAAGGACACATACGACGAAACTGCAGAACACCCCAGGGCACGGATGCTAAGACCGCTCCTAACAAACAGCAGGGAAACTAATTAGTGGCCATCTCGCGGGGCGGAGGTTGCCAGATCATGAAAAGCCCCAGTTTAAAGCGCTTCAGATTTCTGCAGTGAGAGGCGGCAGTAATGGACTTTTCATAATAGGACATATTAATGGAGTTCCCTGCAATATGACGATAGATACAGGAGCCAACATTACCATCATCCGAAAAGATTTGGCTCAACAACTGGGAAGCAAACTTATCTGGACGCCGCCCTGCGTTACCCTACAGACTGTGTCCGGTGAGAAGATCAACATCGATGGAAAAGTAAATGCTAACATCACGTTTGGAAGTGCCGCTTACCATCATCACCACGGCATATGTAGCAGAGATCATTGATTCTTGCATACTCGGATTGGACTTTCTAAGGAAATACAATTTTTCCTTGGACTTTAAAAATAACGAATTGCATTCTACATCTGAGGACATAGCGTTATTTGGAGTCAATGATGAAGTTAAATCTGTCCATAAAATCATAGCACAAGACAATATCACAATACCGGCAAGACAGAAATTTTACTTCCTGGATCCATAGCCGAAAACAGAAATTTCCGCTACGGCATCATAGAATATCCCAATAACTGTAATAGCCCAAAGGAGTACTAGTAGCCTGAACACTCGTCGACCTATCCAGAACGGTTATTCCCTGTGAGAGTCGCCAATGTACTGAGAAGGGGAGAATTATTAAGAAAGGTGTTGAAGTGGTTGCAGCATGTACTCCAGTAACCACCGTTGAAAGAAAGAGTAACATCCAAGAATCCGTGTCCTCAGAGAGAATTACATCGGAGTTATTGCAGAATGCGCAATTAAACTATAAAGAGAGGAATGCTGCCGATCGCGTCATTAAAGATCTTCAAGTTGTTTTTCTCCCGCTCGTCTTCTGACGTGGGTCGAACTAGTTTGACACAACATAGAATAGATACCGGCGATCATCCCCCGATCAAGCAACATCCAAGACGTCTACCGTTTGCTAAACAGGAAGAGGTGCGAACACTGTTAAAAGATATGGAAGAAAGCGATGTCATCGAGCCTTCAGTAAGTCCATGGGCATCTCCCATCGTCCTAGTCACAAAGAAAGACGGCTCAACAAGATTTTGCGTCGACTATCGCCGGTTGAATGAGGTTACGAAGAAAGACAGTTAGACCTCTTCCTAGAATTGACGACATTCTAGACACTCTTTCTGGAAGCAAGTGGTTCTCAACACTTGATTTAAAGAGTGGGTATTGGCAGGTAGAAATACAGCCTGAAGACCGAGAAAAGACGGCATTTACTTACGGGACAAGGGCTTTGGCAATTCAAGGTGATGTCCGTTTGGACTGTGTAATGCGGCCGGCAACATTCGAAATGTCCTTATGGAGAGTGTTTTGAAATGGCCTTTCCTACGAAGCCTGCCTCATATACCTGGACGACATCATCATCGTCGGAAAGAGTTTTGAAGAAACATCTTAGAAAATCTTAGAAAGGTGCTTCAGAAAACTGAAAGAAGCCAATCTTAAAGCTCGAGTCCCCGCTAAATGCAAATTGTTTCCGAAAGGAAGTGACTTACCTGGGACATGTCATCTCTGGCAGAAGGTATGTGCGCACGGATCCTGAAAAGGTATCAGCGGTTAAATCCTGGAAACGTCCCGAAAATGTCCATCAGCTGAGAAGCTTCCTAGGGCTTTGCACCTACTATAGGAAGATTCCTGAAAGACTTTTCTTCCATCGCAAGACCCCTTCGACAAGCTGACAGAGAGCAAGCCAAAAGTTCTTGTGGACCAAAAGAATGCGAGGATGCATTTAACAACTTTAAAGGAGGCTTTAACATCTGCTCCAATCCTGACGTATCTTCAGCTTGACCGACCATTTATTCTCGACACCGACGCGAGTAATGAAAGTGTTGGTGCTGTTTTGTCCCAAGGAAATAGACGGCCAAGAACGTGTAGTGGCATTACTGGAGCAAGTGCCTGTCTAAACCGGAGAGGAATTATTGTGTCACCAGGAAAGTGTTGCTCGCCATAGTCAAAGCTGTAGAGCAGTTCCATCACTATCTATACGGCAGAAAACAAAATTCCTGCTCCGCACCGATCATGCATCATTGACCTGGCTTTTAAATTTCAAGAATCTGAGGGTCAAATAGCCAGGTGGATACAGAGACTCCAAGAATATGACATCACTATCCGTCATCGTAAGGGATCATCACACGGAAACGCCGACGCCCTGTCTAGAAGACCTTGCCAAGAAAGCTGCCGATATTGTTCCAGGGTGGAAGCGAAATACGAGCTGCTGACTCCGGTCGCAAGACAAATTACAACATCAACATCGCCTGATCGAGAACCGTGGAGTGATGATGTTAGGAGCGGTCTTAGCATCCGTGCCCTGGGGTGTTCTGCAGTTTCGTCGTATGTGTCCTTCAGCACCGCAGTTCCAGCACTTTACGGTCGGTTTCTTGTCACCAATATTCTGTCTCAAGGCGTTCAGTTGTCTAGTTAAAGACCAGCTGGAAGACCGCGACATTAAACCCATAATTGATTTAATGGAGTCATCAAACAGAAAACCTACCTGGCAGGACATTTCTATCTGTAGTCCTACAACCAAACAATATTGGGCACTCTGGGATTCACTTCACATTCGAAACGGCGTCTTATACCGGAATTCGAATCGGATGATGGGAAGACGTTCCGATGGCAACTTATACTTCCAAGATCCCGCATTCCTGATGTCCTTAAAGATTACATAGCACCCCTACTGGAGGTCACTTTGGAATAATGAAGACCTTGCAGAGAGTTCGTGAGCACCTTTTACTGGAATAATGCAAAGGATGACGTGCAAAAGTGGTGCCGATCTTGCGATGCCTGTGCAGGTCGGAAAGGACCGAGGAGACGCAGCCGAGGCAAGCTGCAACGTTACAACGTAGGGGCGCCTTTTGAAGTATCGCCTTTGACATCCTGGGGACCTCTGCCACGAACTGCTGATGGCAACAAATACATACTCGTTGTCATTGATTACTTCACCAAGTGGCCTGAAGCTTATCCTATTCCTGATCAAGAGGCTGTCACAGTAACTGAGGTAATGATACAGCACTGGATTTCCAGGTTCGGAGTGCCTCTTCAGTTACATTCCGATCAGGGAAGGAATTTTGCCTCGGCATTGACAAAACTCAAACGACGCCATTGCATCCCCAGTCGGACGGCATGGTAGAGAGGTTCAATCGAACCATCCTTAATAACCTCTCATTAGTGGTTTCCAGAAACCAACAGGACTGGGACAAGAAATTACACCTCTTTTACTGGCTACCGCAGTGCTGTCCACGAGACTACCGGCTATTCTCCATCACAGATGCTCTTCGGTCGTGACCTTCGTCTGCTTGTGATCTATTGTTTGGCCGCCCTCCGGATGCTCCTTCATCGTCTGAGGAATATATTCAAGATCTCCAGGCCCGGTTTGAAGTGATGCACAACTTTGCACGAGAGCGAGTCAACTTGGCGACGGAGAAGATGAAGACCCGCTACGACACAAGAGCTACTGAACATCGATTCCACGAAGGAGACAAGGTGTGGTTGTGGAATCCGACTCGACGGAAAGGACTGTGTCCGAAATTACAGTCACCTTGGGATGGCCCGTATACAGTCCTAAAAAGACTGAATGACGTCGTGGTTCGGATTCGTAAGTCTTTGAACTCTAAACCTAAAGTCGTTCATTACGACAGGTTAGCTCATTACTATGGCCATAGCACGTAATGTAAATAATTGTAAATAGTATCAGACCATGGTCCTTTTTGTTTATAAATGTGTATTTGATTGATTGTATTTAGTATTTGATTTGCATTTAGTATTGATTTGTATTTAGTATTTGATAGCATTTGATTTGTTTAAGTTAGTTATTGCATTTATTGTTTATATTGTTTGATTTGTAATAATGTAATGTTTATGCCTCAGTGCATTTATGCCACAGTTGTAAGTTTAGCTTCCTGTCCAGGATTGTACTGCCGGGACGTGCCAGTCCTTGGGAAGGGGGCAGTGTTACGAATTTGGTATTTAAAAAGCTAATGTTAGTTCAATTATAAATTAAATGGTTTTATTTTCGCGCAGTGCAGCGCGTGACGAATATTAAAGAAAGCTAAGCCGGAAAATTGAAAATACAAGAGCGCGTGCTTAAATAAATAATATCTCTTTTTGATTTCGAGAAAGTGCTGGAAAATTCTAGCGCGTGATTTTAAAAATCTTATAAAAGGAGGAAAACATCTCAGTTTGTAGTAGTTGCTTAGTTTGTTGTTGTTTAAAAAAAACTACTGTTGTTGATTGTAGCGAATTCGTGGATTAGCGTTCTTTAGCTGTTTTGAATTACGTTCTATTGGACATTTGAGTAGTTAAAAGATAACTACTGTGAGATATTGTTATACTGCATGATAATTTGAGAAAATTTAAGAATTTTTGTTGTGATAATAATAAATTTTTGTTCATTTTTCATCGGACTTGTGCATTCATTTCATAACGAACCCGTACGCACGCAACAATATATAAAATTGTTCAGCAGAGTTAAATTCTGCGCAGTTTTTAAATTTGACGTTTTGTATTCCCTTTAGGTATTTTTCCGGTACATTTAAAAGCCAGACGAAGGCTGTCCAACTAGGTGCTAGTTGCTATAGTATAAAAAATATATAAATTTACCTGGTCGGGCGTCGACGCACTGTCCGTGCTGTGACCTCCCGATGTGTCTAGAAGATTCCTGGACACACAAGGTGGTCCACCACAGAAACTGCTACCATTGCTATTATTGTTGGTATCGCCGAGGTCTCCTGGTTTTGTGTCTCTCTCATCTATAACTAGGTCAATGGGCATTTTGCCTTTGAGACAGCTGATGTACCGTTGACAAAAATTGTCACACAACTCATGCACCTGAAATCAAAGCAGAGAATGTTAAACTAACAAAGACGATAGCTTCGATGAGTAGCATTTCAAAAAAAGCAAAAAGTTGATATTAAGATGCAAGGAAAACGACCGTGGAATACGTGAAGAAAATCATGTCTCATTTTTACTTCCTTGTACGAAGTAAAAAGGAAGTATTATAATCGCGAAAAGTTTCAGGCAGCATATTTCAACAAAAATATCTCATTTTGACCGCTATCGAATGCAACTGAACGATGTTTTTGCGTGATATCTATACGTAAGGACAGAATAAAAGACTCTTTTCCTCCAAAAAAATTATAAAACTACTGCTTTAATATAATTCTGAAGAGAATTTTCGTGGCGTCTGTAGAACATGTATGTACGTACGTGGCGTACACGTATGTACCCGCATAACTCAAAAACGAGTAGCCAGAAGGTGAAATTTTGTATATAAGGACTGCATAACATGTAGATGTGCACCTCGTATTTGGTTGCATCGGCCCCCACCAAACGTATATATATTTGTATATATATACATTTGTATATAATACACTCTGTTACCGGCTCATGATCTCAGTTTTCTTGACTCTTATATGTTAGTAATTGTACATTTTTTGCTTTAAAAAGATTGAATTATGTTGTTGGTTAATTCCGGTTAAGGTTTTTATGCCTTTCGTAAATTTGGAGACATATTTGTACAATTATCAACATTTAAAAAACTGCTTAAGTGGCGTTAAGCTTTTAAGTTTTAAATAACATGGCGGACATATGTAATTGTTTACATTTGAAACAGCAGAATAGTAAATTTGTTGGCAATTTAGAGACTAAGCTTCCAACAACAAAGATAACGCCTTCATTTATTATTGCGAATTAAATCATGCTTCATCCTTTCTGGAACTTTTTCGACAAAATAAGTGTTTAAGTATTTTTGCCTTGTCGCGAAGTGTGAACTGAATTAATTGAATGGGAAATACTCAATCGTCTTTGAAAAACTGTTCCTTCAAGTCGTGCGGTGTACATACCAGATTTTTTTACTACATAAATATGAAAAAATTTATTAAAACATAGGGCGTTAGACCTAAAGGGCTATTAGTCACAAAACAGCATTTTGCGTCGTTTAACTTTTCAAATATTATCGCAATATTTAAAGAAACTAAATAATGAAGAATCTGCATGAATGGTTCTCGCAAAGTGAAAAAACTACGGTACCTAGAATTATCCAATTTTGAATAACGTAGTCCTCCATTCGAGTACGGGCATCTGGAACCCCAAATTTGGAATTTGTTTTGTTATCTATTTCAAATTTTGGAAAACTTGGATGAATTTTTGATTAAGAAACTCAATGATTTCAAAGCGAGCAATGGCAACACTGTCCGGGAAAAAAAAAAAAAAATTTCCAGCGCGCGAGACTGTTCATCGGAAATTCTAAACATATGCTGTTTTGCTGTTTATAAATATTTTGTGATATTGCTGCTGAATTGAATTTTATGTTGTTTAAGAGCAAAGAACATGATGTTTATTTAATAAATAAAAGTAACACACAAAACATTAAAAAACACCCCTTTACCCCTTCTTTTCTTTGGAGACGGGGGGCGGGGTTTGTATGTACGCGTTGTCAGTTAAATGTGATGTTGGTTAAATGTAGGGTCAGCTAAATGTCCCTATTGCTAAGTGTTTAATCGGATGTCCTGTCGGCTGAGTTCGCGCTACCGTTCATAGTATAATATGATTTCAGCAGACCCAGATAAAATTACAGTCAAGGAATTTTTACTGATATCAATAACCCTGCGAGGATTTAATATGAGGCATTTGCTGAAATAAAGCCACCATCTAGCTCTTTAAATGGCAAAAACTTTTTTTTTTTTTTTTTTTTTTTTTTTTTTACCACAGCTTTAGTTTTAGAGCGAATTTTTGCACGGGTTTTCGTTTTCATCAGGTTTTCTTCTAAGAAAATTAGCGGCCGAGCGGTGAAGTCGCTGAACACTGGTAGTTCGGTCCGAGGTTCAAATCCCGCGAACGGGCTGGCTGCATGAGTGTTTTCGTGGTTTTCCCCATGTGTAACGTGTATACGAGCCAGTTTCCCTTAGAAAGTCCTCCACGAAGGCTTCCCTCCCCTTAGGAAGATAGCCCTCGAGGCTTTGCTGTAATTAAATAACCTAACCTATGAAAATAAAATTTTAATATAATAGCGAAAAAAATTCGATTTTACAGTTTATTCAAAGGTACCTGACCCCTTAAAATCCGTCATTCGAACATTTTAAATTTCCTTTCACACTTTATTTAAATTTTGGGGACTAGCAGCAAAATACTGGCCATGTTTAAAAATTATCAAGGTATCATGGGGTTTTTGTCGTCGTCGTTGAAATAAAAATTTAAAATGTTTTTTGGATGCTTTTCTCGGGGACAATCAAAGCTTGTTATATATCTCTACGTCGCCACTTTAGAATCGACATTAAAACAACATTGCCGATAACGACAGTGGTTGTAGATTGCGCATTCCTCGGTAAAGCTGAAATTCAATTTACTTAAATGTCCTAAAGAGAAGGCGAAAAAAATAAATAAACAAACAAAAACAAATTCTGAAAGGGGCTTTTTTTAACGTTTTGTGTGTTACCGTTACTTATTATATACCATCTTCTTCGCGCTTAAACCATAAAATTCAGTTCAACGGCAATACCGCAAAATAATTTTTAAATGTGTCTATCTTTAGAATTTACGATACAGTCTCGCGCGCTGAAGATTTTTTTTTTTTTTTTTTCCGTGCAATGTTGCCTTTGCTCCCTTTGAAATCGTTTAGGTTGTTAATCAAAAATTCGTTAACGTATTTAACGAATTTTTGATTTGAGTATATCATATTTTGTATACTATTTGTATACATATTTGTATATTTTGTATATATATAAAAGTATTACAAAATATGAAATCGATAATACAACAAATTTGGGCTTCTAGATACCCATATTCGGTTGGAAACATACGTTATTCAAAACTGTATGTCTCTAGTTACTACAATCCGAGAAACATGCATATATTTCTGAAGATTCTTCGTTATTTAATTTCTTTAAAATATAGGTTAGGTTACTTAATTACGGCAAAGCCTCGAGGGCTATCTGCCTAAGGGAAGGGATGCCCTCGTGAATGACTTTCTAAGGGAAACTGGCTTGTATACACGTTACATATGGGGAAAACCACGAAAAAGCCAATGCAGCCAGCCCGTTCGCGGGATTCGAACCTCGGACCGAACTACCAGTGTTCAGCGACTTTACCGCTCGGCCGTTGGTGGGCCTTCTTTAAATATAATGCAAGTCTCAAATATTGGGTGGCAAAAATTTAAAAAGTGAACCGACGTTTATAGTGAGCCGACGCAAAATGCCAAAACGAAATTAATACCCCTTTAGTCTAACGCTCTTTGAGCTAATAACACACAAACAGGCGTGACCGATCGTGGACGTGTCACTGGCTGTCCAGGATCGGTTACAACTGTTAGAAAATTTCATGTTCCCGCATGAATCATGCGTTGAAAGTCACTTGTGTGGAATTGCCCTGAGAGAAAGAGTCGTGTCACATTTTTTGGTTCCCTACGCACGCTCTTATTTTGCTTAACAGTTTAACCAGCTTTACTCACAAGTACCTAATGATATGTTACGAGTTTTATAAATTTTATTCACCCATCTAAAGCTGTAACTAATGTTTTCAGCGACGGGGACAAATGAAGATCTCGCGCCCGTCTTGCTTGCCAGAATTTGAAAACATTTCCTTCTAAAAATTCGTAACGTTTGTTCGGCGCCCCTGCATGCTGCGCCCGGGGACAGATGTTCCTCTTTGCCACCATTTAGCTACGCCCCTGCACCCACCAAACAAGCTGACATGAAAAGGGTAAGGAAGTGTCTTGGAAATTGTCTTGGTTTCTGGGATCAAATATCAAGATTCATAAAACAAAAGCATGGCTTTGTGCTATCGTCCATGTTTCCCATGCCATAGGTGTACGGTTCAAATCCCAACCGTGGGGTTATTTTTAAAACTCTTGCAAATACATGAACTTTTTTTTATTAAATACTACTATATTAAGTAATATAGTATATATAATATAGGTTAACCATTATTTTTATTGATTATACTATATTACTTAATATAGTATAATCAATTAAAATAATGGTTAACCTGGTCAGGATCCACGAGAACCAACCAGAAAGCGGCGTGGATGAGACTACTGCCCTCTAGCGGCCGTTGCTGAACTAAACAGAATGTTCTAGAAACTCCTAGCATGTTGCAATCCCGTGGCGGATTTGTGTTAATAGATAAACGCGGACATGAAACCGGATTACACTAAAAACAGGAGGAAACATGCGGCTGACGTAGCAATAGCAAGATAATCCCATGGACCTTATAAGAAATAGACTAACCCAAACGGGTTTTCTCCCTCGTCTGAGATGTGTAACGTGTATACGAGCCAGTTTCCCTTAGAAAGTCCTCCACGAAGGCATCCCTCCTCTTAGGCAGATAGCCCTCGTGTGCTTTGCCATAATTAAATACACCAAACACCACCCTCGACTGAGACATTGCCGGCCGTCACCTTGATCACATCTGGGCATTTGGACGGCCGAATTTCGAATTTGTTTTAATCTATTTCATATTTTGGAAAACTTTAACGAATTTTTTATTAACAAACTCGAAAACTGTACAGAAAATAACAATTTTATCTCTAGTGCTTCTAAAGATATGCTGTTTTCAAATGTATGTGCACTGTAAAAAAAAATCTGTAAAGTTACTAAGAAAAGTCGTGGAAACTGGGATGCCATGGATTATTTGAGTAATCAAAACAGGAATTTCTTAGTAACTTTACAGAGATTATTATACCTGAAATGGTTACAGATGTTGACATGTAATGTTACAGGAAGTTTTTTGTAGGCATAACAAAGTTTTGTATGTTGATTACCGAAGCATATGCCTGTAAAGGTTACAGATCAAAGATCTGTAATGTTACAGGAAATTATCGTGTAAGTATAACATGTTTTTCATATGT